TAAATATGTTTTTTAAAACGAACTAAAAATATCATAAATGAGGATGCCTGAGCAGTGGATTCACATAAGACTGATATTTCTCCTTGTTTTTTGATATTGGCGAATCTCGAAAAACGAGCTACTCGTTTTTCGATATTCAAACTTGAATCTCAAAAAAGTAGATTTAATGGATGTACATCTATAGAATGTCTCCAAAACACATTTGATTAAATCAGTTTGTAAAACGAACTAAATATATCGTAATAGAGGATGCCTGAGCAGTGTATTCACATAAAAATTACTCTTTCTCCTTGGTTTTTTTTTGATATTGGCGAATCTCGAAAAACGAGCTACTCGTTTTCCGATATTCAAACTTGAATCTCAAAAAAGCAGATTTGATGGTTGTATATCTACAGAATTTCTCCAAAACACATTTGATTAAATACGTTTTTTAAAACGAACTAAAAATATCATAAATGAGCATGCCTGAGCAGTGGATTCACATAAAACTGCTCTTTCTCCTTGTTTTTTGATATTGGCGAATCTCGAAAAACGAGCTACAGCTCGTTTTTCGATATTCAAACTTGAATCTCAAAAGAGCAGATTTCATGGTTGTATATCTACAGAATTTCTCCAAAACACATTTGGTTAAATACGTTTTTTAAAAGCAGATTTGATGGTTGTATATCTACAGAATGTCTCCAAAACACATTTGATTAAATCAGTTTTGTAAAACGATCTAAAGATATCATTAATGAGGATGCCTGAGCAGTGGATTCACATAAAAATTACTCTTTCTACTTGTTTTTTTGATATTGGCGAATGTCGAAAAACGTGAAGCTTGTTTTTCGATATTCAAACTTGAATGTCAGAAAAGTAGATTTAATGGATGTACATCGACAGAATGTCTCCAAAACACATTTGATTAAATCAGTTTTGTAAAACGAACTAAATATATCGTAATAGAGGTTGCCTGAGCAGTGTATTCATATAAAAATAAAACTGCTTTCTCCTTGTTTTTTTGATATTGGGCTATCCAAATGACACTTTAGTTGACTTGAAATCTTACGTAGTAATCACCTTTTTCGCAAGATCACCTTTTTTTTACTTTTTATAGTTTTTTTTCTCAAAATATCGGATATTTTTTCGACTACTTCCGGTTTTTGGATCATTGTCGGGATAATTTTAACAAGTTGTTTGGTTACCTAACCTTCTGTACAAGAAGTTTCAGAAAAATCCATTCAGCTGTTTTCTAAAGAAAGAAAAATAGATGAGCATTTTCAGTAATTTAAGGATTTTTCAATTTTTTTTCAAGATTGAGGCTCTTTTTGGACCACTTATATTATTTCGATGCTTTTATTTTTGGACTCACGCCATAGTCAACCGATAGTTCCAAAATTTCACGATTTTTCAACTTTTTTCGATTTTCAGTACGTTATTTTACCTATTCCAGACATTTCAATGTGTTATTGGATGGATTCATGCACAAGACTACCAGAGGGACTCTCGATAGGGAAAGTTTAAGAAAAATCCTTGGAGGAGTTTTCGAGATACAGGCGTCCAAAAACTCTCCAAATCAGAAAATACTTGATTTTCAGCATGTCATATTTTGCTGCCCTCTCATAGGATTAATGTGAAATGGGTATCATATGACAGTCGAATCCCCGGGCCACCAAACGATACCTTAATTTCTTTAATCCGTTGATATCGGGTGAAGAAATCATGTTTCTCCCAATAGCACCCATTTTTGCGTTTTCTTCAAAATATCGGACATTTTTTCGACCACTTCCGGTTTAAGGATCCTTGTCGAAATAGCTTTATCAGTTGGGTTCACAAAATGGGCAGAAAATTCGAAAAATAAAGGGTGATAACTCTGAATGAAAGTTATATTACTGGAATCGGATTGCTTTCAGGTATCCAAAAATGAAAATTACAAAAATTCTCTCCTAAACAACGTATTTTCAAATTTCGAACGACAAAAACCATAGATGAAAATGAAATGAAATGAAATGGGGTTTAACGTCCTACTGTTCTGCTCCTATACTGGGCTAATGAAGACGGGCATACGCCAAACAGTGTGCTATGAGGGAAATTTTGCCCGGGCAGCGGCACTATCGCCTACTCTTATATCGAATTCCAACTGCCAAGGGATCTTTTACGTGCATTCCAATGTATACACGGGACCTCGGTTTTTCGTCTCATCCGAAGGACTAGACAGCTGTCCTTGTCAGGCCCTCTGTTCTGCACCACTGACAATCGGAAAATCGGGATGAACTTTCTCGGCCAAACCATAGATGAATGTTGGAAATTGAAAAATGTGAGACAGCCATTGTCTCAGAATAGATTCAGGCTTTCCAAAAATGTGAATTGTTTTAAAATAGGTAAAGAATTGGCGAAACCACGGCCCATTTTTGATTTATTGCTACCGTTGAAAATTCGGCCACTTCCGCTCTGGGCAGAAGTTTCAAAAATACTTTATCGAGTAACCACCACAGATCGATATCTGTTTTCAATCATGGAGATACTAAATTTAGCCTCTAGAGCGTCCACAAGATTTTTTGAAGTGATCAAGGGCCATAACTCTGACTGTAATTATCGGAAATCGCTGAAAATCAATAGGCTTCTTCGTTTTATGACCTTAAACACCGTGTATAAATTTAAAGTAATCGCATACTAACTTTAGCCGGCCGGACGGGGGCGACGACAATATACGACCACATTTCAATGTGGGCGTATAAAAATTAACCGCATGCATATAATATTTAATGTATGATGAAGTCAAAATAGGCGACTTCGGTTTTTAGTGTCATTTTAAAAAAAAATGTCTTTTAAGGATAATGTGTATAGTACTAATAGCAATCACATACGGAAGAGGCGATAAGATCCCTTTGCATTTGCAATTTCAAAATTAATTAAAACCAAATTTAAATTCCGAAAATCTTCTTCTTTTTTTTTTGCTGAAACTCTGGTAAATGACGTATTGTGTCCAAATTTCATGGTTTTCGGACAATCGGTGCCGGTGTCGTGGCGAAATTCCCACTTTTTCCCCTTACGGAAGCCGTATCTGGACGGCAGCCGACCTGGAGCCGTGCCAAGAACAAACGACTTGAAGGAATGCAGGTATCGACTTGAAATTTTCAGGGCACCTAGGTACCAACGTGAAAAGTTCCTAGCCGGAATTTGGTAGACATGGTACCTTTAGTTCCAGCGTTGCGCATGCGCGAAGTCAAAAGTAGCTAAATATGTTTGTTATGAAGGGATTTTTTTACAAAATGGACCTATCTCTTCGAAACTTCGGCTAAACCCCCATTTCCGACCTCGGCGCATCCAAAAATTGTCTCCAAATTAAAATCGAACACCTAGTTCCATCTCTATTTTCTTGTTTTACTTTATGTACCCCCGGGAAAATGGCCACCTCTTGCCCCCCATGGGTCGGGCCCTAAAATTTCTTGTTTTGAATTGTACTTGGGACCATAAGCCAGATACCCGGTGAGTTTCAAGTTGGTGTGCACGATAGTAGGGTTGTGACGCGCATGCGCGGGCCTACACTCGAAAACAACCATGTCGGCACGGAAAACATCAATGGCTAAATTCGAATTTTTGAATATTCAAATACCAAACATTCGACCCCCCGTATCCCGGCTATCCTGAAATGTATTATTTCAGAAATAGGAGACGTATTGAACATACTATGCCCTTTTGTGTTTGCTTAGAAGACCGTATGAAATATGAAAGCTTAATAATAATAATTTTAGTAATCTCAATAGGCTTTCAGACTTTATTTCAGAAGGGTTGAAGATTAGGCTATGATAGCCTTTCTAACATCCTGCCCTTCGTAGAAAATATAATACAAAATATATAGTTAATAAATTAAACAACACATCACAATAATTTACAACAGAGGAAAAAAATAAATATACAAATCAGTTAAAAGATTAATTTAAGTACATGTATATGCGGGTTATATATCAGAACGTTTGAATACATATAGATATAACATGTATTAACAAATATACAATATGTACATGCTTATAATTTGGAGAACACATATCATAAGAGATAAGCTTATTTGAAGTAGATTTAAGGTAAAGAAGGTGTTTTTTCCTGAAAAGATTCAAGTTATTTAAAGTGTTTAAAGAGTTTGGGCCCTTTAAAGCGTATACTGCTTTTAACTATATTAATATTTGGCTTGAGAGTAGTAAGTTTATTGTTAAGATGACTGTAAGGGGTTCGATGATAAGGTAAAAGGTCAAATAAGTAATTAGGGCATTGTTTTAACAGAATTTTATAAATAAATATACATTGATTAGAGATATGTCGATTTAGTATCGTAAGAATCTTTAATATGGCTCCTGATTGTTCGAAAAAATCACATTTTTAGTTCCCGGATTCTCTAGAGGTCACATTTTTTTTTCCGATTTTAAAAACCGTTTAAATATATCACCATTTCACCATAATGAAGGTTGAATTCGAATTTCGGGAAAATCGAAATGAAACTGCCCGACAAAATGGCTGCTCTTTGTACGCAAATTTTGTAAAAGTATACAATACGAAGGTTGTAGACCCTCTAGAGGTTACAATATTTATCCGATTTTGATGAAACTTAAAACATATATCCCAAAGATCTCAGTCTCTTTTGATATTTGCGCATTTCAGACCATAACTTTCTGGATTATGGCCCCTGATTGTACAAAAAATCCTGTTTGTTTTTAGCTTGTTCTCTATCCATCTCTTGCAAAATGTGGGCATATCCTGGCTTCTTGTGTTGACACAAAACTGGTTACATCTCAACACTTGCCTTGGTTTTACCTATGAAAATTTACAACCAAGACATATCAAAGCATTGCAATCATTTTGAATTGATTAATAAAGACATATATTAAAGAATTCCAATCATTTTGAATTCATTAATAAAGAATTTTAAAATAAAATATTTTAGTTCCTAACGGCTATCAACTTTGATAAGGTTCAGTATTTAATTAGTACAGATATATGGTCATTTTCTTTTTTCTGTATTTTAGATTTGGACCGGGTATGGTAATTTATTGGTTTGGATTTATTGAAGATTTAGATGTCAATCAAGACAAAGGAATTATACTGAGACATGAATTTCCTGAAAACATTGTTACAATGAATCCTCTTGGTTGAAACAAGAATCAAGGTTCACTGAATGTGTACATAACTCTCTATAACTTAATGTGTGTCAACTGTGATATAGGAATGTTCTGTGGCAAATGTTGATGATCAGTCAAATTGAAAAATGTGAAAATAAACTGTAAATATTGCCTAGTTTCAAATTGTATTTTGAAGTTGGATGTCCCAACAGAGAATTTTTCGAAATACCTGGCATGGTTAAAATAGATGACTCATAAACTGCACATTAAAGAGTCCCACAAAAAACAAGAAGTAGAGACCATGTTTTGGGCACGATTCATGATGGGTTACCAATGTTTAGAACCGGATTAATATGAAACTTTTACATGATGTTTTGACCTAATCTTCCTCTTTAGCCTGGGCAAAATTCTTAGGATTATGCGTCATTTTATTTTGAGAAATATTATAAAACAAAATAAGACCATGCAATAATTGCTGTAATTTTTTGTGCCTGGAAAACACTAGATAGATGAACACATTTCATATTTAATTATAATTGTTGTTATGTTGTAAGACTATCTCAACAAAACGCACCCTCCGTGAATATGTAGAGTTTATTTGTGCTTTAAAATACAACAAAATAGTCTTCATGAAATCTACAAGTACTTGGAAGGCTGCTTTTTAGTTTTTAAATGATCCAAACATAGCCATGCAGAACGTGGAAATATGTTCACACAACGACAGAGCGTGGAAATACGTTCATACAACAGCTATGTCTTGAAAAATGAACTAATGAAAACTTGGATGGTAACGAAATTTGATAAGGATTGCCTTCAAGAAATCTAAACACTATCATGTTAAGATTTTCCAGGCACGTAATATAAGTTGAAACTGTCAAAATGTATCTTTGTGCATTGTGAACTCTGTTAAAGGTTATTTAAGAGCTCCCTAACAGCGTTTCATTAAGACAATTTGAAACAACTTGATAAAATCAATTTTCAGCTAATACAAAATGAAAACATGGCACCAAACAAATACATAACTGATACGAATTCCAAGTACACAATACCTCTAGGGAAGCCGCAAACTCGAGGCAACTGTATTATATAGATAGTGCTTTAAATAATTAATAAAATACTTCTATATTTATCAATTAAAATAAACGGTATCTTTTCATCATTCATTACAAAATTCACTATCTATAAAAGAGTTACATCTGATAACATTGTATACCGGTTCGATTTTTTTGCAAAAATATTAAAGTAGCATCGTTGTTATTAATTGATAAATACCAACCACCTCAGCAATATCAATTCCATTTATGCATTTGAAGAGTCCAGGGAAAAAACGATCAAAGTCACATTTCTGTCTTTTCACATAGAAGGCAAAACAGACTTTTGGACAAGAATGCTTGTCGCGAACAGAACAACGAGTGGGTTCAAAATGATGTTTAAAACGAATCATAATTACTAGTACAACAACTGACTTTCACTTTTCAGCCAAATTAAGGTCAAATAAAGGGTATGATGGACGTATTTGTCCGGAAGGCCATTTCAGAAGGGCCTTGGTTCGATGTGACTCCGATCGTTTTTACCTGAAATTGATTGTTCCACAGAAAGCTTATACAATTTGCTACCAGATGGTGCCATTAATTGGGGGTCATTGAAAAAGTGACTTAGGGTATCGCCTTGAAATTTTCAGGGCACCTAGGTACCAACGTGAAAAGTTCCTCGCCGGAATTTGGTAGACATGGTAACTTTGGTTACAGCGTTGCGCATGCGCGAAGTCAAAAGCAGCTAAATATGTTTGTTATGAAGGGATTTTTTTACAATATGGACCTATCTCTTCGAAACTTCGGCTAACCTCCCATTTCCGACCTCGGCGCATCCAGAAATTGTCTTCCGATTGAAATCGAACACCTAGTTCCATCTCTATTTTCTTGTTTTACTTTATGTACCCCCGGGAAAATGGCCACCGCTCGCCCCCCATGGGTCGGGCCCTAAAATTTCTTGTTTGGAATTGTGCTTGGGGCCATAAGCCAGATACCCGGTAAGTGTCAAGTTGGTGTGCACGATAGTAGGGTTGTGACGCGCATGCGCGGGTCTACACTCCAAAACAACCTTGTCGGCACGGAAAACATCAAAGGCGAAATTCGAATTTTTGAAATATTCAAATACCAAACATCCGACCCGTATCCCGGCTATCCTTAAATGTATTAATTTCAGAAATAGGAGACGTATTGAACATACTATGCCCTATTGTGTTTGTTTAGAAGACCGTAAATGTCGATTTTTCGCTATTTTTCATATTCACTTCAAAATGGCGGCCATCAGTTGACCTAAATCAAAATTCTGCTCTGAACGTTTTTTAGGCATTCCTTCGGGGATTCAGAAAATATAACTCCCATGTCTGTAAGTGCAATATCGCAAAAGTTATTAAGACTTTTCACGTTTCATGGTGGTGGCATTTCCGGTTCGATCGACAAACTCCATATTTTGTATATGAATCAGTAATTACTTGTCTAGTATCGAAAAAAAAAAATTAGGTCATTCTGACCTTCATTTCGATGATTTTTTTGAAAATTTTGATTCTTAATTTCATTAAGGGGAGATAATTTAGCAAATTTCTAATCATATTTTTGAAGCCGCATCGGTAAGATCTACTTACATGCTAAATTTCATGAAAATCGTACAACTATTAAAGAAGTTGTCAAATTGGTCGTAAATACGGGTTCGAAATCACAGCGACGAATTTTCGAAATTCGAAAATCTGAATCTGCAGATTTGAAGTAATTGTCTCAAGGTACTCAAAGAAAAAAGATTTAGTAAAATAGGTCAAATAGTCACAAAGTTACAGCATTGTAGGTCAAATGCATTCGTTCGTAAAATTCGGTGATTTCGGATGCGTAAAACGTTTTGAAAATATATTTAATCAACAGCCACCACCCATTTTTGGGGGGATAGGTAAAAGTTTCAGAAAGATCCTATTGTTAGATTCTGAGAAATCCGATTTGTGGATAAAACACACACACACAAAAATAATAATAACTAGATCTGCTAAGAAGATATTTAAGCTTTCATATTCACAATCACTTCCTGTTACATGTCAAGGGTCATATAAAAAATCTCAACAAGATAAAAAAAAAAACAACAATTAAAATCGGTCAAAAACTCGCGAAGGTAATGCGATTTTTCACTCGTAAACAACTTTGTCGGCACGAAAAACGACAAAGGCAAAATTCAAAATTGTGACATTTTCAAATACCATACATTGGACCCTGATCCCGGCTATCCAGAAATGTATTCATATTCAAAACAGGAGAAGTATTCTCCAAACACTGCCTATTGTTTTCATTTTCATATCCGTTATCGTCGATTTTTCACTTTTTCTCATATTCGGTTCAAAATGGTTTCCATCAATTGACCTAGATCAAAATTCAAATCCGATAGATTTTTAGGCATTCCTTCAAGGATTCAGAAAATGTAACTTCCATGTCTGTATTAAAATATTTCAAAAGCCTTATGGATTTTTCACGTTTTAAGATGGTGGCACTTCCGGTTCAATCGGCACACTTCATATTTTGTGTACACATCAATACTGTCTAAGCTAGTACAGAAAAAAAATTCAAGGCAATCTGACCTATATTTCGTCGATTTATTTTAAAAATTTGATCCTTAATTTCATCAAGGGGAGATAATTTAGAACATTTCTAATGAAATTTTTCAAGTCGCATCGATAAGATCTACTTACATACTAAATTTCATAAAAATCGTGCAACTATTAAAGACGTTGTCAAGTTTGTCTCAACTTCCGGTTCGGAATCACAGCGATTTGAAGTAAATGTTTCAAGGTACACAAAGAAAAAAGAATTAGTAAAATTTAACCTCTAGAGCGTCCACAAGATTTTTTGAAGTAATCAAGGGCCATAACTAAGACAGTAATTATCGGAAATCGCTGAAAATCAATAGGCTTTTCGTCTCATGACCTTAAACACTGTCTATAAATTTAAAGTTGATCGGATACTAAATTTAAAAAGCCCCTAGAGCGTCCACAAGATTTTTTGAAGCGATCAAGGGCCATAACTCTGACTGTAATTATCGGAAATCGCTGAAAATCAATAGGCTTCTTCGTTTCATGACCTTATACACTGTGTATAAATTTAAAGTAATCGCATACTAACTTTAGCCGGCCGGACGGGGGCGACGACAATATACGACCACATTTCAATGTGGGCGTATAAAAATTAACCGCATGCATATAATATTTAATGTATGATAAAGTCAAAATAGGCGATTTCGGTTTTTAGTGTTGCGGTCATTTTATGAAAAATGTCTTTTAAGGATAATATGTATAGTACTAATAGCAATCAAATACGGAAGAGGCGATAAGATCCCTTTGCATTTGCAATTTCAAAATTAATCAAAACCAAATTTAAATTCCGAAAATCTTTTTTTTTTTTTTTTTGCTGAAACTCTTTTTTTAATCGGATCAAAATGGGAGTAAGGCACAGAGTCCGGGGTGGTATTGGGCGTATTGTGTCTAAATTTCATGGTTTTCGGACAATCGGTGCCGGTGTCGTGGCGAAATTCCACTTTTTTCGCCCTTACTGAAGCCGTAAATGGCGGAAAAAGCCTAACGGCAGGAACAGTGTGAAGAACAAACGACCTGAACGAATGCAGGTATCGCCTTGAATTTATCAAGGCACCTAGGCACCAACGTGAAAAGTTCCTCGCCGGAATTTGGTAGTCATTGTACCTTTGGTTCCAGCGTGGCGCATGCGCGAATTCAAAAGAGAAATTACGGTCGATTTGGGGATTTTAGGTATATTTCGTAGTGGTTTGGTAAGTGACGGTGGATCGTCAAAATAGGTGATTTCGGATTTTAAAAAATTGTCTTTTAAGGATAATGTGTATAGTACTAATACCTATCACATACGAAAGAGGCGATAATATCCCTTTGCATTTGCAATTTCAAAATTAAAACTAGTATTAAATTCCGAAAATCGTTTTTTTTTTGCTAAAACTCTTTTTTTTTTAATCGGATCAAAATGGGAGTAAAGTACAGAATCCGGGGTGGTAATAGGCGTATTGTGTCCAAATTTCATGGTTCTCGGACAATCCGTTCCGGTGCCGTGGCGAAATTCCCCCTTTTTCCCCTTACGGAAGCCGTATCTGGACGGCAGCCGACCTGGAGCCGTGCCAAGAACAACGACTTGAAGGAATGCAGGTATCGCCTTGAAATTTTCAGGCCACCTAGCTACCAACGTGGAAAGTTCCTAGCCGGAATTTGGTAGACATATTACCTTTGGTTCCAGCGTTGCGCATGCACGAAGTCAAAAGCAGCTAAATATGTTTGTTATGAAGGGAGTTTTTTACAAAATGGACCTATCTCTTCGAAACTTCGGCTAACCACCCATTTCCGACCTCGGTGCATCCAAAAATTGTCTCCAAATTAAAATCGAACACATAGTTCCATCTCTATTTTCTTGTTTTACTTTATGTACCCCCGGGAAAATGGCCACCGCTCGCCCCCCCCCCCCATGGGTCGGGCCCTAAAATTTCTTGTTTGGAATTGTGCTTGGGACCATAAGCCAGATACCCGGTGAGTTTCAAGACGGTGTGCACGATAGTGGGGTTGTGACGCGCATGCGCGGGCCTACACTCGAAAACAACTTTGTCGGCACGGAAAACATCAAAGGCGAAATTTGAATTTTTGAAATATTCAAATACCAAACATTCGACCCGTATCCCGGCTATCCTGAAATGTATTAATTTCAGAAATAGGAGATGTATTGAACATGCTATGCCCTATTGTGTTTGTTTAGAAGACCTTAAACGTCGATTTTTCGCTATTTTTCATATTCACTTCAAGATGGCGGCCATCAGTTGACCTAAATCAAAATTCTGCTCTGAACGTTTTTTAGGCATTCCTTCAGGGATTCAGAAATTATAACTCCCATGTTTGTAAGTGCAATATCGCAAAAGTAATTAGGACTTTTCACGTTTCAAGATGGTGGCATTTCCGGTTCGATCGACAAACTCCATATTTTGTATATGAATCAGTAATTACTTGTCTTGTATCGAAAAAAAAATTAGGTCATTCTGACCTATATTTCGATGATTTTTTTGAAAATTTTGATCCTTAATTTCATTAAGGGGGGATAATTTAGAAAATGTCTAATCATATTTTTGAAGTCGCATCGGTAAGATCTACTTACATGCTAAATTTCATGAAAATCATACAACTATTAAAGAAGTTGTCAAATTTGTCATA